CTGCTCAGATGGGGTTATAATCATTCAGATTATACTAAAATACACTAATGTGGATGTGGATTGGAATGGCTATATCCTCTGCACCATCATCTCTTTATACTCCTTTGGGACAACAGTTAACATGATGGTTGGTCAGTCACTGTTCCGGCAGGGAGTAGTTCATGTTTGGCAAAAACTTCTCCAGACTCTTTGATTTCTTCTGTCACAGATTTAATGTCCTTCATCTAATATCTTCTTCATGTATTCATAGCATATACTGTTAAGCTTATGCTGTGATTTAATTTTGCAATGGAAGCAATTTTTCAATTTTACAGAGCAAATTATAATTGATTGATATTAATGTGGATTATTACAAATAACCCAATACTTCAGCTTCTGATCCTGAAATCCTGAAAGTCTCAGAGAAGCTCCCCTGGTCATATTTCACACACTTTAAATGTTCAATATTTAATCGCAGTAAGTAACTACATTAAATTTTCCTGACTAGATGTTTTATTTGTTGTGATTTTTTTCACATGATAGAAATTAAGCGATGATGTTTCCTATTCATTTTATTGCTTATGCCATTTATATGTGGTTAATGAATGTAAACTGAGCAATAACTATTTACATTTATGTTTGTGCTTGTGTGACAGTTGCAGTACCTATTTCAGTTGTAAAATAACTTGGTGGTTTGCAGTATCAGGGAATGGAATAAGACAAAGGAACAATATATAATATATTTACTGTACTAAATCATAAAATCATCATGACGTGTCATCAGAGATTAAGGAAGCATTTTTGCATTACTGGCTTCTCTGACAGCAGTGCTGTGTCAGTATGTTCTTTTTTTGAAATTGCAGAGTGAAAAGTCTGTGTGTGTTTTGGCCCGTGATCCCATCCACTGCCCATTTCCCAGTGCCATTTCGACTCCCTAGGTTGCCAGATATGAAACAGATTTGGACTGCAGTACCCATTTTAAATACTTGCTGTCAGCATTACATATTACTCCTTTAATCATTAACTTCATCTACATATTCATATATTACAAATAAATAATGTACCAGTTTTTGAAGACATATTCCTGTTCATGTGACAGTTATGGTCTCGTCTCCCTTAAGTCTCCAGCGCTCAGAGGCACCAGTCTACTGATCACAGGCCCAGCACCTCAGCTCTCGGCTCAGTCACACACTCCTGATGCTCATTTTAGGGTTCATGAGCTTCCCTTCTTTTAGGTCACTGATGGCTCCCACATTTGAAAAGTCTCTAGCTTTGCAAATCTGTGAATGCCTTTCTCGGTCTCCTTGTCTGTTTATCCATTTTGTGAGCTTGCCCTTCAGTAACGTGTTTGCAGTCTCAATCTCATGTTTGACCGAAGACTTCAGCAACCATGGAAGTGGTGGGGGCTTCAGAAGGGGAGAGTAAAAACACTTGGGCCATGGACATTGTGGGAGCACTGACTGAACAGGGAAAATTGCTTGGTGACCTCCAACTCATTATGAATGAGATCATGTGCACACTCCAAATGCCTTACCTCTGCCTTGGGCACCTACCACTCGATCCATATAGTCCACACCAAACGACCTAAAACCAAAGTTGTACTTCTGCTCCCACAGCCCTCTGAGGCCAAATGAGCCCTTCCTGATAAATTGAATGAATCTTGCCACAGTGCTCCTTCGATTTATCCCATTATCATTCAGCTGTGATTACTAACACCACAGAGACTGGCACTGGAATGGGCTAGATATGAGATGAGGAGAGGAATGACCATTTCATCTCTTTGTTCTGACCAGTCGATCACCCCATTGATATAAAGTAGGGCTGTAGTTAAGACCACCATTTTTGAGTCCAAGACAAGTCTAAGACTGTGACTAGTTGAGACCAAGTCAAGATCAAGCCTCAAAGTAGAGGTCGAGTCCAAATCAAGGTAGAGTCAAAGTGAGACTCAATTAAGACCAAAACCCATAGAAACATAGTCATCATCTTTTTCCAGTGCAGGTTACTGGAAAAATATTCATAAAGGGTTTTCTTTCTGCACAACAAAAGTATTTATACAAAAATTACCCCATAAAATGAACTAAAGATGCAGTATTCAAAAAAACATCCGTTGATGTTTGAATTCAATTGCGAAACAAATACACCCTTCCTTGAGAAGCTCCATGTCCCAAATTCATGAACGGACACTGTCAAGGTCAACGACACTGGACTAGCAAACTCAAGCAGAAACAGAACCGTTCAGTCTCTCCAGCTGAAATCAGCTTCTTTTCGCTGGTTTCTTTTAGAATTTTCCCATTTCACCTGAAATGATGTGACACCTACATTCAGGCACCTCAGGCACAGAATGGAAGTGCTACACAATTAAACGTGGAATGGGAAAATGCGAATAGGAAGCCAGCTTCAGCTCCATCAGCTTCGGGGAACATTCGGTGGAGCAATACTTGGACGGTTGCTTTCTCCTTAATGTTTCCTACTGCACTGCGCCATCTTACATACACAATGCTGTGTGGGTGGGCACTGTCTTTGTCTTCTGGGGAGGTAAAGACAAAACATGGGGAGGGCCAACGTTTTCACAGGGCAGGACTAACATGCACGCACAGCCGAACCGAAAACAGAGAGGCTTGGATTACAGCATACACAGACTTCGCTCTCTGCTAAGGACATTATTACTCCACTGTATATTTATACAGAAAATAGCTGCTTGGTGCTATATTAATGTTTAAGATGTCATATGTAGAACTTATGAAGCAATAAAATACATCCTCCTTTATGGGACAGTAAGGGAGTGCACCTGAGTGCACCCAAGCACAGAGAGGAAAACCCTCTGTTTGCTCAAACAGAGGAACCTCTCCAAAAATACACCTTTCCTTCCCCCACTCCCCTATTTTCCCCAAAGAAGAAAAACTTCAGGGAAATCTGACAGCAAAGTGTATCATATCGTACACAAATAAACAAAACATTTGCTTTCTAGTTATAAGAGGAAGATCAGCTTTGAATTTCTTTGTTCTTCTTTTCTGTTTTCTGTTATTTGGAATAAGAACTTCTTTTGAACTCTCTGGTGTTTTGGAACAGTGTTTCTTTTCAGCCTTCTCGTTCTTTTCTCTCTTTATTTCTGTCATTTTGAGCAAGACCCTCTAGTTACCTTACCAGTCTCTCCTCTACAAAAGCACGACACTGAACTTCTGTTTTGCCATGAGCTTAAATGCAGGGTCCCACAGGTGTGCCTGGTTGGCATTAATCAGCCCATGGGCTTCTGGGAATTGGAGTTTCCTGGGCTGGTGGCGCCTCGCCTCTACTGACAGCCAGCGGCCTCGTCTGCACTGTTACACTTACAAACGCCCTGAATGAATATAACAATCCCTGCTTTAAATAAATACAACCAATAGCCACTCTAAATCGATCCAACCAATGCCTTTATCGTGAAATATCATGAAAATGACAGCCTATCTGGTTCTTTATGGCTTAATTTAATTGGCTGTTTCAAGTAATCCTTGTATGTCAGTTCTGGCATCAAAATTACATCAATACATCTTCTGAATCTCTCATTTCTGACATAACAGTTAAATTACAGCCTTTAAATTAGCAAAAGGAACAGTTCCAAAGAACCTTTCCTGTTTTTTTTTTACTTGTTTGGATCATCTGCTTCTTGTTTCAAACGACTGTAAACCAACCTTCCTATAGGAATTAGTTATGTTAGTTATTTTAGGTATACCTAACATAACTAACCAATTTAATACTAAACATCATAATTAAGTAAAGCTGTCATTCAGTAAAAATGCATTCACATGGAACAGAGTGACTGTATGAACAATGTCTGATTTAGTTTCCACAGCCACAGCTGTGGGAGCTTATGTGGGACTTTCACAGATAACATACTGACTGTCCCACGCTGTGTCCGACTGGTTGTACCTTGAATTACCCTGTTGCTGGTGCTTGTCTCTTCCAGTCTCCAACACTCACCATCACTGGCCTATGGATCCCAGGCCTTGTCCCTTAGCTCCAGTCTGTCATATACACTTCACAGTTTTTCCGTGCTCATTAGCTCCCCTACTTATACTCTCCTGTTTGTCAACTCATTTAGAAAGTCTCTCACTATATAGCAAAGTATCTGAGCTGTTTATCTGTTTTTTAAACCTGTTTGCTGTTCAAAAGCCTGTTTGTAGGTGTTTGAATTAGGGCTCTTTTGCCCACATTCAGATTTGTATTGTAAATATGCTAACAAACTCCCTCTATTATTGATTCTCGTCTCTTGTCTTTTGGGGGGCAGTCGTGGGCTGGAGGTTAGGGAACCTGGAGCCGGTTTGATCCCCTGAGCCGACAGTATGTGACTGAAGTGCCCTTGAGCAAGACACCTAACCCCCAACTGCCCCCCGGCGCCCTGGATAGGGCTTGTTGTGGGACTAATAAGGGTCACTTAACTGACTGACTGACTGACTGACTGACCATTTTGTTGTTCATAAAAGGCTGCACTACTACTACTGATACTATTAAATGTGTAATGAATAATAATAATAATAATAAATAATTATGACTTTTGTATTCTTGGATAAAAGTAGAGAAAGATAATATACAGTGGGGAAAAACATGATGTGGAATAAACAGGGAAAATAAAGTTGGTGTGAATGTGTTGTGCTTCAGGGCCCAAGCTTCAGCCTATTGAAAGCAGTTGAGAATCTCCAGTGTCTTAGCGTGATTTACATTGTAAATACAGAGGCAAAGAAATATCTACACCACTGCACATGTAGTTTTCATAAACTGATACGAGTACTTAGAATATGTAATCAAGATTTTAGACATTATCATGCTCATCCTGCTCCCCTCCCTCCAACAAAAAAGGAGTGACACTCTATCAGTGTGAGGGGAGTGCCACGTCTGAAGCACCAATCCATGGCAAGAGAGCAGAACCTCTTGCTTTTTCTGAGGAAATTTTAAAATAAGAAGGAGGAATCTGAATCTTTTGTATCTGAGAACAGCACATCAGGCCACGCTTTTGGCCACTGCTGTTTCAGAAAGATATTTCCAGCATGGTTCTTAATACTTCTTGGCATTTCTCTGTTGAAATGACCGATGAAGCTTTCGCTTCAGTAAACGTGCCTTTCTCTGCCGTCAGCATTCTTTTCAACATCTTTTTCGTCTACTGCATGGTCGTTCCACAGCAAGGAGCAGAGCAGCTGAAAGAACCCCTCAAGGTTTTACTGGGCTCACTTATTGGCTGCAACATTACAATTCATTTCTGCAGCCTTTTGTTTGTTTTTAATGAGTTTGTTTTTAGAGACATAATTAAAAATGTAAACCTGTTACATATTATATGCCCTTTGATTCTGACTGTTATGATATATACCATGATGACCATCGTTATGTCCTCCCACTGGAAGAACATGTTTTACTTCTGCCAGATTGTTCCTTTACAGCATTCATTCTTCGTCTGGTTTAAGAGGAACATACGAGCCTTAATCTACTCTGCTTTGATCTTAAACAAAATTTTCTGTTTGTTTGGAATGGCTGTAGGTGTTTTTTATAATACTGTACAGTTCAGTATGAATCTAGCAAATAATTTCACAAATGACACACAGGATGCACTGTGGAATTCCCTGCAGATAAACTATATGCTATGCTTTGCGAGCTTCATGTTTACATTAGCCTTATATATGCTCAGTCTGTGTGTGATGTTGGCCTCGAGCTGTGCAGTGGTTCTCTACCTGTGGAGACACATGAAGAACGTGGAGGAGAGCGGCCTGGTCTCGCCCCGTCTCCAGAGACAGATAAAGATGACCATCACAGGCATCACAGTACAGGCGCTCCTTCACTTCCTCTGCTCATTTTGGACAATAACACTTGGAATTCTGAATTATATATATTCCCTGAAGTTAATGTGGATTGGAATGGACATATCGTCTGCACCATCATCTCTCTGTACTCTTCTGGGACAACAATTAACATGATGGTTGGTCAGTCACTGTTCCGGCAGGGAGTAGTTCATGTTTGGCAAAAACTTCTGCAGACCTTCAATTTCTGCTGTGTCAGAATTAACAAGGGCTTGTAACCTTTCATGTAATCACTTCTTCAGGTATGTGTAGTTTATAGTGTAAGAGCTTTGCTGCAATTTAACTGTGCCACTGAACTGATCTTGTGTAATTTTACATGAATTATTTCAAATCTTCCAGTTTACAACTTCTCTGAATCAGTGTCATCTCCCTGATGCTCTCAGAGAAACTAGCTCAAGAAATTTCTCTAAGCAGACAGCTACAACTAAATTTGCTTTGGTGTACAAAAGTACATTTACTCTCAGTAAGTGCTTTTAACCATTCCTGGTAAGATAAACTCTGTATGATGGAAATTAGGACATAGTGTATTTTCCTTTTATTTCACATGAAAAAAAGGTTAAAGAGAAGCATACAAGCATAATTACATTTTTTAATTATTTGTGCTTGTATTACAGTTACACATTTTTCTAGGAAAGGATCCCAAAGTAAAGATTGCATTGTGCAATCTGTACAACAACACCATCTGTATCAATGTTAAAAAGAACTGAACAGCCTTTTGTTCTGCTTATTATATTTGATATATACATATTTATTCATAGCTTGATTGTCATTTCAGCCCTGGCTTTAATTGCATTTTCTTTGTCAGGATGCAAATAAATACATGCTGCTGCTCTATATTACTACTCTATGTGACTATTACCAGTATTACTACTATGATTTTTACTTATGCTACCGATACTACGACTGTTAATATAAACCCAATTCCAAAAATGTTGGAGCAGTATGTGAAATGCAAAAACTGCAGAAAGCATTGATTTGTAAATCCAATTTGACCTGTATTTAAATGAAAGCAGTACAAATTGCTTCCTAGCAATTTAAGACTAGGAATATTGTTGAATGTTGTTAAAATTAAGAGTTAATTAGTTAGTGCTTGGGTATGAAAGGAGAATCTAGGCAAGGCCTATGAAAGCAAGGATGGATCAGCCCTTACGCAAATAATCCAGCTGTTTAAAAACAACATTTCACTCAATGAGCATTTGCAAAGATTTTAGGTATTTCACTCTGTGGCACACAATATTATCAAAAGATTCAGGGAATCCAGAAAAATTTCTGTGATTAAAGGTCAAAAACCACAACTGAATCTCTGTGAGCTTTGATCCCTCAGACAGCACTGTATTAAAAACCAGCATGTTTCTGTGAAGGATATCACCACATGGACCCAGGAATACTTACCACTGTCAAAAAGCACTGTTCACTGCTGAACGCACAGATGCAAGTTAAGACTGTACTCTGCACAGTGGAAGTCACAAATAAACAACATATAGAAATGCTGCCGACTTCTCTGGGCTCAAGCTCATCTGAAAAGGACTGATGTTTAGTGGAAACGTGTATTGTGGTCTGACGAGTCAAACTTTCAGATATGAAAAAATGGACGGCGTGTTCTTTGAGTCAAAGAAGTCAAGAACCATCCAGACTGTTATAGCGTAAAGTTCAAAATCCAGCATCTGTTGTGGAATATGTCGAGGGTGTATTAGTGCTCATGGCATTCATTTTTGGATCATGTTGAGGGTATCAAATGTAGAATGAGCATTTATTTACCAAATAATATAAAAAAATATATATTTCACAGACTGTGCCAACTTTTTTGTTTTTTTATGTTTATTTGGGAAGGAATAGAGAAAGAAATACATACCTCTAATAAAGGGGGCGTAGAGGCAGGATGTATGTATTAGCTTAGATTTGATTAAAGACAGGATAAAACAAAAACTATAAAGTACTAAAATACAAACTGAAATTAGTTAAACATACTTGTTCTGGCTGATAATTAACTGTTTATTTCTATCATCTGACAGTTTTATCTGTGCAATTAATCAATAACACACTGACTATCTGATGAGTTCCGTTCTACTTATTATGACAAACTCTCTATATCCTATGACTATCAGCTTTTTCATGTGATGGCTGGCATTTTCATAAACTGTCTATTACATGAGCAATTTGAATTGTAAACACAGGTGGACACTTTCTTAGCATCAAAATATTTTCACCAATTGTTTTTCACCACCACTGCACCTGCAGAGAAGGTGTTCATTTAGTGGTACAGGTCAATTGTCCACATGTTTGATGAGAGAGAACGGAGATATCATACGTCCTTTGTAGAGCATGTGGCTTGTAGAGCATGTGGTAAAGAGACAGCAGTTTTTGGACAATGTTTGAAAGAGAATATAACAGTCAGAATGTCCTTATTTTCTTAATAAAAGATACATTATATTTTCAAAAGTATCCAGTTACCCCTTCTGATTAGTAAATTCAGCTACTTTCAGATACTTAAACCCACTGCTGACACAGAGCTTTTATAGACTCCATAGAAAAGCACTGCCTATTGAACAGGACACTCTGGAGCAGCCGCACATCTTTATTTATTGCTTAGTCTAGTGACATTTAACTATCAATGATTTAATTTTTTCACAGTATTTGCTTAAATTACTTATAAATTTTAGGGTTGTAAAGTGCTATTAGGGTTATTACTGGGATAATAACTGTTCATCGTAATTATTAATGAAAATAAATAAAATTAGTTATTGAAACTGATGTATTTTTTCATAGGCTACTTTCAAAGTGGCATAAATCTCATTTTTTTGCTGTTAGAGTCTGATTCCCTGCCCAGGTGAGCACACCACATTACACCAATATGACTTTTTGGGCAAGACTTGTAACACTACGTTTGACCACATCGTGATTAAATCAAATGTAAGTCATGTAATTCTGTTAATCATGTAACATGTATAAAATATTTACATTTAAATTTGATTCCTTCTATGACTTAGGTTTGCAATGACAAAGTCAGTTTGTATGTTACTGAAGTCTAAAGATGTAATAAGCCTTGGATTTCTTGGAGTTAACTCTCAAACAATGCACCTTCACCATTTCTAACCATTGCACCGCAGGAGCAGTTTGCATTGGAAATGCAGGTGAGATGGAAAATTACACAGTTTGGTTTCATTCACCACCACCTGCAGAGCAGGTTTGGATTTATTGGTACATTACAGAGATACAATGATAACACACTCAGATGCCTGAGCAACTATGCTATTTTATCCTTTAATGAGTTACAAGCCTTAAGCTAATGATTAAAGCCTATTACAGCAAATTATTCAGTATCTACTTGTCTAATACCGTATATTTGAGTGATAAGAGAAGTCTGGACCTGCTCATCAGTGCCTAAGGAGCTGTGTTCAGTCATAAGAGCACTCATCCCAAAGGTATTGGACGGAGCTTATTAGAGTCCAGAGTAGCAAAGGTTTGAAGAACGGATGAGTCCATGACAAAAACAAAACCAAACTACAAGAAGAACGCAAACAAGAGACAAGGAAACATCCACAAGTACATCCACAATGCAAGACAAAGACTGAACAAACACAGGGGTATAAATACCCTGAGGGAAAATAAGAAACAATTGGGACTAATGAGGGGCGGAGCACAGACAGGTGGAGCAGATAACAAGGGGGCAGGACCAGGGAGGAGACACAGAACAACAACAAAAGCACATGGTATAAGAAAACAAAAAAGGTACATGGCTACCACAGAGTGGAAGAAACAGACACTGAGAGGGACAAACGGAGAATCTGTGACACATAATACAGGAGTAAACAAACAACTGAGTGGCTCAAACAGAAGAAATTTTAGATTAGCCAAAATACCTAAACTCAGCACCACTGAAATGTTCTTGCATGAACTGAAGCAGGCCATTCAAAACAGACATCCCAAAGCACACGAGTGCAATTTTGCAAAAGATAGCCCAAAATACCACTTAACCAGAGTTCAGGACTGATCAGCTGTTACAGAAAATGTTTGATTGAGGTTAATCTCAGCCTCAAACACTCTGCCCACAGAGGTGCATGGATCATTTGAGATATATAGACATATATATAAAATGGCGACACAATTTGGTGAGGTACACTCTGAGTTGATGTTGCCATGTATTGTAACAATGCAGGATTAGGCTGGTTGGTCGGACCCATATGCAGGCTTTATTGTGACAGACAATGGTACAAAAACACAGTCCAAAAGCAGAGTCGGGGCAGAGCAGAGGGTCAGAGGCCAAAATGACCTGCAACAGATCTAAGACAGAAAAAATCACAGTCCAAAAAGGTCTAATCAAGATCAATAAACCACAAAGTTACAGAGAGAAGGCTCAGGACTACAGTGACACACTAACAGTACTTCACTAAGAGTGGACCGAGAATGTGAGTATTTATAGGGGAGTTGATGAACGGAGAGAACAGGTGTGGGTGAGTGACAGCTAGAATTCAGGAGACCTCTGGTGGCCAGTTTGGGAGTTGCACATGACATGTATACAGACTTCCATACACTGTTTTTTTATCAGTCTGACGGAAGCTAAATGTTAGCAAGCAGTCGCTGCTCTGCAAATGACCAAATTGAACATTTCATCTTCTATATTTTTTTTTTGAATGAGACGCATGTTTGCAGTAGTTAGTTGTAATAAGAGTGAAGTATGTTGCATGTTTATCAGTGGGCATAGTCAAATGGCAACTTCATTCAAAGTGCTTCTTGGTCATGTTGGCTGGTGAAACCTACTAGGCTGTCTGACAACAGTGGACTGAAGACACCAATTTTCTGCTTTGTTTAAACCATTTGTTTAAGATACAAAACTGTAAAATATTATTTTTGTTGCTAAAGTAAGACTATGTCTGTTTTTATTTGTACGGCTAGATAACTGTGGTTGCATTTAAGTGGTTTTGGCATCTGCATGCTAATGAGGTTGCTAGCAAAAGAATGGAGGATTCTTTTAAAACTAAGAACCTGAAAAGACTCTGGGACGTTATATAGAACATGATGGGAATGTCATCATTAAGGAAGCCAATTCCAGTGGAAAATAACCTTGAATTTTCAAACTTCCAAAATAATCATTTCACCAGGTTTGAAATAGTGAACACTGATGACAAATGTACTGATAATCTCAGGGCTGTTATACCAACCAGTTTAGGATAATGACCTCTGCTGATGATGTGTTAAGTACACTTAGAAGCAGTAACAC